AACCAACGTTTAAAATATGACCTAGATATTGCTTTAAGCTCAGGTATTCAGCTTGGTACTAGAAACAGTCTCTTGATTAAAAATAACGAAAGTTTTTCAGAGCGTGTATGCCAGCTTGAAGATGAGGCAAAAGAACTCAAAAATGAGATTAATCAAAAAGAGATTTCTCTTGCAAATGCTAAGAGCGAGATTGCTACAAAATTGGAAGAGATACAAGCTATCCATTCAAGAGTAGAGGAATTAGAGCGGGATGCTTCTTTAGCAGAGAAGAGATTATTAGAGATGGATTCTCTTAAGCATAAATCTGAACAGGAATACATAAAACTATCTGACGAAAATTTTAGTTTAGATTTGGCAAAAATGGAGTTAGAAGATATACTGGCCAAAAAAAAGGATGAATTAATGCAGGTGAAAGAGGATTTGCTTTTGGCGCAAAAGTCAATAATAGAGAAAGATTCCCTCCTTCAAAAAACTAATGATATCAATAAAATTCCTTTAACTAGGCATAACTTCTGGAAGGTATCATATTGAAACAACATGGCCCAGTTTCTATTGAATCATATAAGAACTAGGGTTTATCATAATTCATCTCTTTATTACAAATGAATAAAAAATCACTGTTTAAAAAAGGTTGAGATCAAGTATGTTCTAGTAGTAAAGGCTTTCATTAAATGATAAGTCTTCTCAGATGTTACATAAGAAGGAAATCAAAATCAAGAATAAATAAGTCCCTCAGACAGTCAGAAGAAAAAAGAATATTTCAATTAGATATTTTTTATTGAGAAGAGATCTTGTGAAGCAGATTTTTGGAGGAAACTAAAAATTTTTTTTTCAATTTTTGCTTTTTTTATTTTCTTGTTATCTACTTAAACATTTTTAGAAATTCCTTTTTTTCTTTTTTAACCTATCCTTTTGTAGCTTTCTATATTTTAGCAGCTTGATTAGATATATGGCAGTGATAACCTGTTGACAATAATATAGTGAACTAGGAGAGTTTTTACCAAAAGACACTGCAAAGCAATATATTATTCTTAATATAATTATTATTAAACTTTTTCCACTAATCCTCTGACCACACACAAAAAAGATGTTCGCAAGAAGTTTTATACTTCCTTGCTAATAAAGTCTTTA